TAAAATACTTTTTCAGTCCTATTTAATCCACTCCCCAGCCATGGCTAAGAGCTCTCGACCTCTGAAGACCTCTGCAGCTCATACTTCAGCAGTCAGGAAATCCTCCCACTTTCTGTCCAAAGCCCTTCCTGCTCATTAGCAATCTGTCCACTCCTGTGGGGGGCGGGGGGCCTGGGGACCGTGTTTCTGTCACCTGCTTGCTGTCAGGGGGCTTCACTTGTTCTGTGGGCTCTATCAACCTCCTATCTAAAATCTGGCTTCCTCAGAGTTCCTACTCCAAGAGCAGACAATGAGAAGCAAAATGGGAGAAAGCCCTAATCTCTTGAGCCAGGGCTGGAGGATAAACAAAGTCCAGCAGGAACCCATCAGCCGGTTGTGAAATATGTGCTGAGCGGGATGTTTTGGCTTGCACGTGGCCAGACTCCAGAGGAGCCCCTAGGTGGGGGGAAGCACAGTGCTGGACGGAGGGTGGCCTTGAATAAAGATGAGCCAGACGGGGCCTCCAGGGCAGAGCCGGCAGCCCTCAGACCTAGGAAGTGATCGGCCAATAATCAGAACATTAAATTGTCAGTGCTGGCCCGGAGGAGCCTCACCTGTGTGTCAAGTGGATGGGTAAGGTGACTGTGGAAACCACATGCCCTTTGGGGAAGGGGCAATCCAGCCCTGGCAAGTGGGCAGGGATGGCTACAAAGCTGGAATAGAACACTCAGTGGCTCCCAAGTGCCCATGGAATCAAGCCTGGGCCTTTAGGCAGCAACTGAGGCCTAAACCTGGCCTTTCAGAATTCTTAACCCTAAGGATTAGCAGGCCGTGACAAGGTTCACCAACAGTTTATTCAGATTTTTGCTCCAATGTCTCCTCTGCAGCTTGACCCTTTCCCCAACTCCTGATCTTCTCACCTACCTCTATTTTACCCACACCACATACCTGCTTCTGTTATTACCTATTTTTTATGTTATATGAGAAAGTATGAGAATTGCAGAGACTAGGATTTCGTCCCTTCTTGCCTGGCACATAAGTAGGGCACCAAGAAACATTTGCTGAAGGGCTGCACTTATTCCTGAGGTATTATCTGCCGCCTCAGCTGGATGAGTATCCCTGAGGGCAGGCGGGGGTGGCACTGTCCTTTGCCTGAACCCAGCTGCCAAGCAGGGTCTCCCAGGTGCACAGCTTTTGAGGGCAGGGTGGGTGTGGGGCGTCCAGCTGGGGGCACCCTCAGCAAAGCCTGCACCGAAGCCCTGGTATCACTCGTCTGTGGTATCACATTACAGTTTGATATTAAGTCCTTTTTTTGGAAAAAAAAAAGCTTCACCTTAGGTTTGGGAAGCACCCTGTTCCACTTGGACCCCAAGCAGTGGGGAGGGTGTGTCCCAAGGTTTGACAGCAAAGGCTTCCAGGTTCTTAACTTTCCATCCGGGTCCCTATGGCATGCCCACCCTCTCCATTAGCAGGTGACAGTGAAATGACGGGTTCTCTGGGTGTCCAGCAGCAAGGAGGAAAAGGACACTCTGGAATCCGGGCTCCACACCTAAAGTCCTCTCTGTCCAGCTGCCTGTGGCAAGGTGGCTTTCTGGTCATAGCCGGGGGAGGGGGACAGCTGCCGTCTGCCCACCCACCCTCGGCTCTGCAGGAATGCCGGGCACAGGAATTGGAAGCAGGTGTGGGCTGCCTGAGCCACCTTCCACCTCCTCCCATTCGTGTTCTCTCCTGCCCAGTGAAGCCATGGCCCTGGGGAGTTTTCCATGTGTTCTGGGCTTGGAAAGGAAATGGGGTGGACACCAGCTGGGAGCTGGGGGGAGGGGTGCCCCTTTGGAAACCAGAGGACATTGCAACGGTGGCCCTGGGTCAGGAGAGACGCAGGAGGGGAGCCAAGTTCAGTGGCAGCCTGGTGCCAGCAGAGGCACTAATGATTTCCCACCCTGCTCTGCCACTGTGCCCAGTGACCCGGATTCAGGGGTCAGCACATTTGGGACCGCAGTTCAAGTTCTGGGATTCTTCTGGAAGTTTAGACAGGAGAGTGACACGGACACTGGCAGGTGGCCCAGAATGTAAGAGACTTTGGAGAGTGGCAGCACAGTGAGGGCCGCTATGGGGCGAACAATGCACCTAGGTCTCCACTTGGCCACCGTGGTCCGGGGACCTTAGGTGGGCTCCTTAGCTTCTCTGAGCCTCGGTGTCCTGCACATCAGAGTGACGACATTCTCACAGCACTGCCAGGAAGATGAAAGGAGAAAAAGAAAAGAAAACGCCTAGCGTAGCTTCAGTCCACCCTGGCAGCTGCTGCAGTCTCTCCCTGCCGGGGTGGTCCAGATCAGGAGCTGGGAAAAAGAGGAGCCTGGGAGTGGCTATGACAGATGGGACAGGAAGTCTGCCTGGGACGAGGCTGCTGGGGACACTGCTATTTACCCTGACACCAGGCCCTCTCTTTCCACTGCCCATCATCTGGCCCTCTCAGATTCCTCAGCCTGGAGGGAGGAAATCATTTTTTTCCTGGGGGAGGAAAAAAGGTGCTGAGCTGTGGTGCTGGCTCTAGGACGAGTGTCTTGGCCTCTCTGGACTCAGTTTCCTCACTGGAGATGCAGGGACCTGGGGATAGGGCCACTGCAAGGATGCAGCAGCTGGTGCTAGGAAGCTCGTGCTATGCATGTGTGTTAAATGCATGCTTTGGGGCCCTCCGGGACAATGACCACCATGCTGTGGATGGACTCTTGGCCCCCACTGTCTTCCTGTCCCCTCTCCCTGTCACAACCAGTGCCTGGAAGATGTAAGCCAACTGGTAAGAGACTCCATGACCAGGAGAAGCAATGAAACACAGAAAACATTTTAAAATAATCACCGCCAAGAACCAGGAATGGATCCAGGTCTGGTGGTGCACACTCGTAATCGCAGCACTCTGGGAAGCTGAGGCAGGAGGATCTTGCAGGTTTGAGTCCAGCCTGGGCAACTTAAATAAGACCTTGTCTCAAATGAAACAAAAAAGGCTGCAGATAAGTGAAGGCCTTTGATTCAACCCCCACTATCTAAAAAGATGAGGAACACAGGATGTGAAGCCATGCAGGCTCAAATCTCAGTTCTGCTACTAACTGTCAGCAAATGATGACCTCATCCATCTACAGAATGGGACAAATGGCGGTGCCTGGCCTGGGGCTGGGAGTCAAGGAGATGATATATAAAGTGTTAAGTCAGTGGAATGTGATTCTTGCCCTGGATGTGGAGGGTGCTGAGGCCCAGGCAGAGCTGATGCAGGCCCTGACACCCCCTCTGCCTGAAATCTCCTGTCATCAGAAGATTGTGAAGTTGAAGAATGCATACATGTATATGGAAGTCTCAAAGCTTAGCCAAAGGTCATCGCTGTCCCCACTATCCCTGCCTTAGGGTTCTGAGTCCGTGTGCTTCTGGGTGGAGCCTGCTTCTGTTCCTCCCTGCAGCCACACTAAGGCAGAAGGGCAGGTGACCAGGAGGCACAGGCAGCCGGAAAGGTGGGAGGACACCTGCGGTCAGGCCGGCTCTCCAGGATTACGTCCTGGTCTGGCCTGAGGCTGGACACTAAGGCTGGAGAGAGAGGAGTAAACCCTAGAAATGTCCTTAAATGTAGGGAAGGCAATGTGATTTCAGGCCCAGGAAGGGCATCCATGGGAGGGGGTGGAGACCTGAGAGAGGGAGGAGAAAGGAAAGGGAAGAGTGGACACTCAAGTCTACTCAGTGTTAGGCTGAAGGCTAGAGATCTGGTCCTTATGGCCCTGGGGAGCCACAGAATGTTCTTGAGCAGGAGAGTCAGTTGGCAAGCATATAGAAGAGAGTGAAGAGGGAGGACTAAACCCAGGGGAGCAGAGAAGAGGTGCTGAGTGAGGCAGGAGAGGAGGCTGAGCATCAGAAAAGGGCACACCCCAGGGGAGCTGGCACAGAGCAGGGGACATGGGGCACCCTCTACCAGAACGTGCTGCTGAATGGGCACTGGATGAGACCCTCTCTGGGCCTAAGTGAAGGAAAGGGGTGCTGGTGGCCGAGGCTGAACTGGCTGGGTAAGGCCCTTTGGGAGCTGGCGGCCATGCCCACACCCACACGCAGCCTGCCAGGCCGGTCTCAGACCCCTGGGTGTGTGGCCAGGACCAATGAAGTCAGCCTCAGACAATCCACCCTGCGCTCCCGCACCAGGCGTGGGGGTCTGATCTCAAGAACAAGGCGTGGATATCTCTACCCTGGGATTTTTTACCATCCCAGCTGAGCAGGGTGAGGGAAGGGAGGAAGCAGAGGCCTCTGTGTGGGCCCCAAACTATGCAGGACCCCCACTTTCCCACCCCATTCTCCACAATTCAGGGGAGCTAATGACCATTCCCTGGGGGACATGGGGTCACTGACCCTCCTTTTGTGGAATCTCCCCGAGTCCCAGAGCCTCTTGCCCAGTGCCAGGGCTGAACTGTCCTCCCAGCTGTCCTCCCCCAAGGGAGGCCTGGACTTGGGGCATGACGGCCTGCTCAGCTTGCACCTGGGACACTGCCTTGCTGGGGTGAAGTGGCTCTGACCTGAAATGAACTGTGGGCCTGGGCACTGCGGCAGTGGGCAGAGGCTCTGCTGAGCTCCCAGCACTCCTCCTCCTGACATGGCCTTGTTCTGCCCCATCTCTGGCCCTCGACAAGCCCTTAGCTGCAAGCCCACAAGCCTGGTCTCAGGCCTGGCTGTGCCAACATTGTGGCATTTGAGGCCTCGGTCTTCTCTGCCCAGGGGTGGGGCCCTCCTGGCTGAGCTTACCCTGAGGTCTTGCATTCTAAGAAAAAATGCCGCAAAAGCCAGACACAGTTTGCTTTCCTGTGTTCTGTGACAGGATGGTGTGAGATGCTAAGGGTGACCAGACAGAAAGGACACATTTCTCGTGACACCATAGAAGGTCCCTATCTGACTTGTCCTAAGCTCCTGCCTTCTCGAGGTGGGACTTGGCATCACCCTTGAGCCATCTTGGCTGGAGAACAGCAGTGTCCCTGCATGGACAGAGGCCAGGCTATGGCACCGGCTAGTGGGGCTCACTGAAGGCTCAACCTTCACCTGATGGGCCTGGCTCAGCAACCAAGGTGGGGAGCAGAGAACCCCAGATGGAGACGGTCATGGCAGCTAGCAGAGACGGGAAGGGGTGGGCTGTGGAGCTGATGTCCACAGGCAGAGAAGCAACCAGGGGATGCAAGGGTGTCCAGCCCTTGTCAAGGTAGGCCGGTCTCTGAGGGCGTGTGTGGAGGCTACCATCTGACAAAGGAAATCTGCTTCCCTCTACACTCCATGTTCTCATGTGCAGACAGCTGTACCTTTCCCCAAAAGGCCACATGATCACCCTGGGAAAAGACAGAGAGTGGCCTATCCTGGGACTCTCTCCAGGGACAGTGCTAGGGTGAGGACTAGGGTAAGTGACATCAGGAGGCATTGGGAGGGGCCACCAAAAAAAAATTCGGTAGCTAAGTAATATTCAATGCTACTTTAGGGGTACTGAGAATGGAACCCAGAGCTTCACACATGTTAAGCAAGGGCTGTACCACTGAAGGACATCCCTGGTCCTTAAAGTAATAGTATAGAGGCTGGAGATTTAGCTTAGCGGCATAAGTACCTGCCTTGCAAGCAGGCAGTCGTGAGTTCGATCCCCAGTACCAATAAAAAAAAAAGTAATAGTGTTAAAAACAAAAGTTAATCCCCCCCAAAATCCTGAAACGAACAATATCTAAATCTCAAATTAAGCCAGGATCCACACTGAGTTTTTCAGTTTACCTCAGGCTGGCTATGGCATCCTTACTGGTTCTATTTAAAACCTTGGTGCATTTGCTTCGTATAGATATTTCAACAGCCCTCAAACGCATTGAGGTATTACTTATCTCAATTGCTGAGTCTTTTTGCATCCCCTATTAAATTGAGTACCCAGGCTAGGGCCTCCTTAGGCTCACCAGTCCCGGTCTGGATGCCCTCCTCCCCCCCCACCCCGGGAGTTCAGGCTCACTGGTCCAGAGTCCTGCTTGGGACAAGGCTCCCCATTGCCCTCTACTCCCCAGCCTTCCCTAAGTCCTTTCAGACCCTGCAGATTCGGGGTTCTGGTGCTTCTGGCCTCACCACGTGAGCTAGTATAGAGGCATCTCAAGTGGAAAAGCAAGGGCCAGGCAGGGAAAAGGGCTCCTTCCCTTTGTCCCTAGATGACCCATTCGGCTCTGGAAGGTGCCTCCTCCCAGTCTGGCTCATCCTTCCAGCCCTTGCCTCACCCAAGTCAGGCTCAGAGGCTAGGTCTGCCAACTCCTGGCACAATGGGGGCTGCTGGATGGGGGTGTGGGGGGGGGTCTGTCCGGCAGCCCCGGGGAACCCTCAGGTGTGGGACGGAGGATAGGTTTGTGCCCCGGTGAGGCTCACTGGTGACTAGGGGTGGGTACTCACCTCGCCCATTCTGACTGGGTCGGTACACGCTGCCCACGCTGAGGCGGCCCTGCTGGGCGCCATTGCGATCGGCCCCGGGCTGGGGCCCCTCTGAGTTGCGCACAGGCAGGTAGGGGGGCTCGAGCACGCGGAAGGGGGGCTGGGGTTCTACCGCACGCGGTGGGGCGTAGGCCTCGGGGGGCATGTTGCCATAGGGTGGAAACCAGCCGAGGCGCGGGCCCTGCGCGGCGTCGGGCGCTAGGTCCGGGAAGGCCTGCTCTGCGCCTGCTGCGCCCTCGCTGTACAGGCTGTGCGCGTAGCGGCGATCCAGGCCGTCGGGGGGCTGCGGCTGCGGCTGCGGCTGCGGCTGCGGCACGTAAGGACGGTCGGGGGCTGGGTAGAAGCCCTGGGCCGGGTACTCGGGCTGCTCCTCGCCGTACTCCTCGTAGCGCACGCGGGGCTGGAAAGGGTACAGCACCCCTGCCGAGGCCACGGCAGCTGCACCGGAGCTCCCGCCCCGGTAGTATACGAAGCCCTGGTCGTAGGTGCGCGCCGCTGGGTCGTAGTTCTCGTACTGGGCGACAAAGGGCGCCTGTGGGTAGGGGTTCTGCTGTGGGTAGGAGGGCACTTGACGGTAAGTAGTGGCGAAGGCCGAAGCCGAAGCCGAGACCGAGGAGGCGGAGCCCCCGGGCCGTTGCTGAGAGACGGAGGTGCGGGCCCGGGCCATGCCCGTGCTATCTCCGACGGCCACCTCGCGCCAGTTGTCCGGCACCTGACCGAAGCCGAATGGGTGTCGCGCTTGGCCACGCACGGTGTCCGAGCCCACGCGCCCGGGCAAGGGCAGCGAGGGCGCCTGGCGACGCCGGAGACCTCCCTGGCTGCGGCGAGCAGGGGCCTGGGGCGCGCCGGCCAGCAGCACCCGCGAGCTACTCTGGGCGCTCTGGGGCCCAGCCGGCACGTACTCGGAGCCCGAGTTGAGCAGGCTGTACACCTGCCCGTTGTTCTCCCACTGGATCAGCTGTCTCCAGCGCCCCTGGTCCGAGTTGGGGTCTGAACCCTGCCTGGGCTGCTGAGCCTGCAGCCCGCGCACCAGGACACACAGCCACATGCCCCACACCAGCGCCCACAACCGCCAGCCGGCGCGGCTCAGAGCCATGGTGGCCCCTCTGCCGAGGCCTGGGGCACAGACAGGCTCTTTGGAGTGCGCCCCTGTGCGCGGTGCTCTTCCCACGGCCTCGAGGACAGGACGGTTCCTTGCCTGCCCCAGCTCTAGCTTTGTCCATGCTGGCCTGGTCCCGAGCGGGACGGCTCCTCCGATGACACCATTTCGAGGCCAAGGGGGCAGGGCAGGGCAGGGGTGGTGCCCGGGCTGCGAGGCTCTCCGTGGGTCAAGGGGCGCTCAGGACCGCCTGGGGGCCTTACATGGCCAGTCCCGCGCTGGCGGCTGCTGGGCTGGCGCGTTCCCACTCTGAATGAATAAGCAACAGGCTGTGAGCGGCGACGGGAGGTTCAGGCGCCCGTCTGCCTGCAGGGGCCTCCTCCGCGGGGCCCTATGGCCCGCCGGGTTTTAGCTATGTGGCCTGGTCCACCGCTCCCAGCCAAGCCGCAGAGCTGCGTTGGAGGAAAGGATTGGGGCCCAGAGTGGGTGGGGGCCCTGGGGATTGCAGCCTGTGGAATGGGACAGTGTCAACTCCAGCCTGCCCATTCCTTTGTGGTACACAGGGCATCCCTGGTCTTCCACCTTGCTTGCTGGCTTCCCTTCCTAGACTCCTGGATCCCCTGTCCCTTGTTCTGCGAAACTCAGGCTCAGAGACACCCTCCTTTTTGTTGGAGCTCCTTGGGCAGATATAGAACAGAGTCCGACCTAGATCTAGACTCCACCAGGTCCTGCAGTTATTGAGCAGGGGTACTAGGCTGCTGGAACTAGTTTTCCTCTAACTCTTTGGCCTTATTCTCCGTGTCTGTAGAATGAGGAGTGTCCCTAGGCAGAACAGAACAGAGCCAGTGAGCCCAAAGGAGAAACCAGCTCCTCATACATCCCGTGGGGCTTGTGTCCTGCATCCCTTGATTCTGCCTGGACTGGGCGTAGCATGGGAATGCACATATAAGTGAGTACAATGCACCTCAGCAGCTGTCTCTGAGAGCCAAAGAGGCCTGCAAGCATAGAACAGCCAAAAGGGATTCACAGGAAGACTGTGGTTGAGAAAGCCGCTGGTGATCTTTGGTGGGACTCTCCCCCTCTCTGAACTGGTGGCTGCATGCAAGTGGAGGGTTAGCCCATGTGGTCCCTTAAGAGCTGTTTTGGGGAATTCTGTTTTCTTTGGAAACAAGAGCGATAAGAAGGGTCCCAGAAATTTGACCTTATTTGGTGTCCAAGAAATCATACTCCAAATGGTGTGCTGCAGGGCCTAGGCTGCCTTTTCTGGCCTGCTCCTCTTATACTCCTTAAGAAGGTATGAGGCTTCTGCACCATTAGCTCCTGGAACCCACCTTGGGATAAGACAGCCAGAGTGTCACTCACTGGGGACAAGGGGCCCTCTGAGCCCCATCCTTGCCAGGCAGCATTTATTCATGCACTGAACTGTTCTTCAGCACAGAGGCTGGATTCAGGTGATGCTGGGTATTAAATGCTCATAATGCAGCGAGAGAGGTAGGGGCTTTGAATCCATTCCTGGCCAGCTGTCGCTCAACACAGCACTTTAGCTCCCTGGTATAGGGCTGGGCCAGGATTCCTGCTAAGAGTGTCTGGCGTGTGGGCTCACCGATGGCCAGGGCTGGAACCTGCAGGGTTAAGCCTTCCCTCCCTCTTGCTGCCCCCTGCAGTGTTGGCCTCAGCTGCTTGGAATCCCTGGGGTCCTGTAGGGCCCTCCCGCCAGCCAGATGGGCAGCAGAGAGGAGGAGGAGAAGTGGAAACAGGCCTCAGGGTGCCCCCAGGCAGGGAGGGGATGGGCAAGGGAATGGAGGAAGGTGGAGGGTGGCATGAGGTAGAGGAGCCCAAGGGAGGACCCCTCTCCATGAGCCAGACAAGGGGCAGGCGCTTGCTTCCTGGGGCTCTGGGGTGGAGAGGCAGGGCATGGCCATCACACTCAGCTGCTCTGCGTGCTCCAGCTCTTGGCGTGAAACCCTAGCCGGTGCTGGCTCTGACTCCTCTTTCTTTTTCTTAATAAGGTCGAATCACAGTGAGTCAGAAGAGCCAAGTTTCCTGCTAGGCTCTGTTTGAATAAACTCTCCTTGGAGTGGAGCTGGGCCTCCAGCACTGTGGCCTTGCCAGCCGGCCCTGCGGAGGCTGGAGCCAGGGCCCATGGAGTGACTTGAGCCAGGAGCCTGGTGGCTCGGCCACTCCCCAGAGAAGCTGTTAAGCTTCGCAGCCCTCCAGTCTCACCTCTGTTCCTTCTTGTGGCAGAGTTGGGGCTGGAATGAGGGGATTATAAAAAGCACCCAGCATAGTGCCAGACATGTGGCCCCTATTTTCTGCCTTTCCTCTTATGCTTAAGGGAGGGGGTTCATCTCTGGAGGGCACCTGTACCCCATGTTTCCCTTCTCCTTTTCCTTCATGCTTCATCCCTGTCTTCATCCTTCTTTGGCCAGAGTGAAGCTTGTGCAGAGAGGGCCAGGCCTCTTCCTTCCTGTCTCCCTGAGTCCCACCTCCTTCTGCTTCCTGTCTAGGTGCCTGCCTCTCCACATGCAGGGCATGTCTTGCCACCTGGCACCCTTAGAGGCCTTGTGGAGGCCTCAGAGTGACCTGGGCAAGGTATAAAGGATGCAGGGCATGGGTCAAATGCAAGCCTGGACTCACTGGGGCTAGAGTTGTCCTGGGGA